TGAATCCAACTATATTTTCTATGATCAAACTACATACCATTATTAAAATTCCTAATAAACCAATTAATTGTGTCAGTACAAATTTCCAATCATATTTCTCATTCTTAAAATAAGTACATGAAATAGGAGCACATTGGTCATAATATTTCTTATAAGAAATATTGATCACCCATTCTTCAATCATTAAATTGTCAATAATAGTTTGTATTGTTGAATTTAACTTGTAACGACTTTGTTCGAATTGTGACATTGCTGTAAAAGTTTCAGTCGTTGGTAATAATGAAACAAGATTATTTAAACATGTTTGATTGTAAAAACATTCTAATGTTGAGAGAAGAATTGTATTTACTGGTAAACAGCTATGCAACATTCCAGGAATTTTCATTAATGTTGTATCATCAGGCGGAAGATACTCAATATAAGGTTGTTCGAATTCATTAAATATCATTGATTCTATGTTACAATCAATATCGATCCGACAAGAACATGATGAGAATTGCTGTGTATCCAAGAAAGCTCGATTATGTACCTGAATTAGAACTGCATTGTCCTGCCAAGGCATATACCATTGCATATAATCAGTCTGAAGAGCAGATAGAAAACGGTTTCCGGCTATTAGTTTTTGTATTAATTCTAATTGTGCTGTGAATTCGATAGATGATGATAATTGAAACTGATGAATAGTAACATTTGTTTGGGATTGAAATACAGATTCTTTTAAAGCTTCTGGAGTTATAAATAAATCTTTATTGAATGAATCAATACTTTGAATAGCATAATCTTTTGAAAGTCGACAAAAACTTTCAAGTGATTGAAATATTGCACTCCCTTCTGTTCGAAAGTCATAGGCGGAAAAATACGTTGTATTTAAACCAAAATTAATTGTTTTAATCCATCGATCAGATATAAAATCACTTGAACATATCTGATGATATCGAGTTTGAATTGAAATAAATTCACCATAGGTTAATGATATACGAGAACATGAACAATGAGTATCCGATGGTAAATTTGTGAATTGATCTTCACTTGGATTTTCAACTATTATAAGTGTATTTCGACTTCTTGTTTTCATAATAATAGCGAGTCCAACTAGAACGATGATAAAAACAATGACAAAGATTCGAGTTGAAATAATATTTGATCGACGTTCATGTTCTTTTTCTTCATCTGTTGCTGTTGAATCAGTCGACAATTCATATATGTTCAAATTGACAAAATAATTTTTCAATGCTAACATTTTATAACAGACAAATAATTGTTAATTACTAAAAAAAACAAGAATAGTTAATCTTCGACAAAAAATAGAAGAGTAGTGTTGAAATGACAAAAATAATTATTTCCTCGAATAACGATAACTAATGGAAATAACAGATAAAAAAATCAAGTGTTTTGGTCTTAGTCATGAAAATAAATAAAATTTATCTGAACTTAAACTAAAATTTTATTTCAAAAAGAAAGATTAAAAATTATCTTTTATAAATACTCACTATGTAACAAAAGTTTTAAAAAAAAAA